CGGCCCCCGGATTAAACACGGATGCGTTTTTTATTTCATTGAGTGACATGCAATAAGAAAGATGTGAAATGTCTACCTGTTTCACACATAAAACAATAACACTAAAACATCCACGTTTATAATGTTCACAGATGGACACCCACTTCTTGACCTGATGATAAGATCCTATAAAATAATCATCTCATGCCCATCTCTACTTTCGTTTTCGATTTTTTTGGGATAAGTTATTAAAAAATTCTGCTATTCACTCCTCTTCGAGTCCTAAGGAAATTTTAAAATTGTAACCTAAAACTTATTTCATATCATATAAACTGAAAATGCATTTCAATATAGATCTAAATAACTACAGATAAGTGTTAAATAAAAATCACAAAAAAAAAAATGCTCCCTGATCGCAACTTTTAACTTCCGGGTTCCGCCACGCGAAAAGAAAATGGGAAAAGTTAAAAAAGCAAAAATGACCCGACCTGGTGGGCTTTCTCTTGCAGATCAGGTATTGGATGACAACAATGTAAAACAATCTAGCAGAACAAAGATCAGAAGAAAGGAAGAAAAAGATGACGAGGTATCATCATCAAATATATCTGAATTTTATGTGTTTTCGCGATGTATGTGACTATTAGTAGGTATAAGAAAGTCGTGTTTTCACACACTAGAATAAGGCAATTATATCCTCATAATCAGTTTTTGACACAATTTACAATACGTAACACTATATGTTTTTTTATTTAATAAATTGGCATTGCCCAAATTATTTTTCTCTTAGTAATAAACAAAGTTTTTCACTTGATGATAATACACCGGGTACGTTACGATACCGAAATCAACTTGATTTCGGTAAAGTTACCGAAATCAACTTTTCATTACCGAAATCAACTCGTAAAACACAAACTAGTTAAAATATTGGTAATATTTCTTCATTATTTGATGGAAATTAGTAAAATAGACTTTCAGTTAAAAAATCTATTGAAAATATTTTATTTTAATGATGTTATTAACAAAAATGTAATTATTGAGTTACTTCCCTTTGTTCTCAACAGTTTAGCATTACCGAAATCAGCTGTGAAGTTTAAATGATTTATATAAAATACATGTATAATACATACATATATATTTATTATTTAAGGTATTATGTTTTTGAAATTAAAGAAAACCTACTGATGAGAGCGTTCAGTTGCAAATGAATAGATATCGCGTGTGATATCTGTTCAGTGCATCCAGGCCACACCACGGGGAGGCGCTCTCTTCATGGCCCATCTTTTTTTCTTTTCTTTTTTTTTTCTTTTTTTTTTCTTTTTTTTTCTTTTTTTTCTTTTAAGTTCTTTTATAATCAATTAATTAATTTTCTTTTCATTTTTGTCAAATTTAATATCTATGTTTTTTTGTTTTTTTTTATATATACATCTTTTTTTCATATGCATCTTTTACATAATAATGAACGTTTTCATCGTTTTCATAACAATAATACTTTTTACATACATTCTACCACTAGAAGATGGATTTTGTAATTCTTATGTTATCTTATGGTTTATCTTTTATTATTATTATCTTTTTTTGTTTTTTTCTGGGAGTTGCTGCAAGTAAAGTATTCCTAGATTTTGGCTTTCTTTGGCAGGCTTGCGGTTTTGATATTGACCTTGCGCTTTCTGGCGCCGGGCTTTTTACCATTGGTGCGTGGTGCTACCACTGTAGATTTCCCATCAGAGGATTTGACCAGTTTGGAGCAGTTGACCTTAAATTGCCTAAATCTCTTAAAGAGATTTTGGCGCTGGGATGGGGTCATCGAAAGCCACTGTGATTTTGACGTTTGAAATTGAGAGTGGCTATCAGCCAGTCGGAACTCACCAGTGCCAATGAGTGCCGCTCTCAATTCCGATAATTGACCTTGTACCAGGGACTGGGCGGTTTCAACAAATGATGTCAGACCTAATGTCTTCCATTCAACTGACTGCTTAAGTACATGGTTGATTGACTCACAATTGTTGTTTGTCCAATTGGAGTCAACCAGTCCTTTCCTAGAGGGAACGTTGACCTTATATTTTAAGTTGGACTTCAGGCGTTTCTTAAAGTAGTCTAGGAACTTTGAAGAAACTTCTGAACAAGCTTCTTCAAAGTTAGTACATTTTTCCTCAAAACAAATGGTATCGTCGGCACTAGTGATACCATCTTCCCCAAATATTTGCTCCAGAATATTTTTCCTACCCTTAACATCAACGGCAATGTCGGTCAGATGATGAATAGCATTTTGTTTGATATGCCTAGTACAAAGGACATGAGTGGCTTGAGTAAAATTTGACTGAATAGCCTTAACCATTGCTTTTTCATCATCTGTCCCGATGACCATTTGGACATATCAGTGTCGGACAATTTCAAAAACAAGTGGTGAAAGAAGTGACTATAAGTTTCATAGTCACTGTTGTCATGGATGAATAATGGGCCGAGAAATATAGGTGGTTCTTTAGTAGTATGGCGAACAACAGAGAGTTGTTTGTAACATGTGACTGTAACGTGCATTTTGCACAACATGAAAGTTTTATCTATACCTAATACAGTTTGACCTGAACAACAAAGAATTTTTATGTCCGACATCTGGGCATCTGTGTACAGGATGATACATGGGGGTCTGCCACTATTTCTTATTATAGACCGGACGAATGAATGCCCTTCTGATACCATGTTTTCAAGAGATTGAATTTGATCAGCAATATTAGAGGAGTGACCTGCAGTATTTTGATCCTTATTTTTCTGCCTATGTATGGTTTGACGAATTGAATTTAGACTAGAAGGGCATTCTAAAGGTTCATATTTCTGTTTTATAACCTGCATTATTTTGGATGGTTTAACTTTACTTGAAGACAACTCCTTTACCTCATCTAAAACAATGTAACAAGTTAGAATAATTATGTCTAATTATGTTGTTTGGATACTTTAAAGTTTCCATGCGCCGATGTACATTAAAGGATTGCGGTTAACGAGTATGTAATGTCAACTAGCACCTCCATTGTCCATGCACGTGTATGTTTGCTCTTTACAGTAAAGGTGTTATGATTAGGCCAAAAAAAAAAAGTTACTTGTTTCCACTACCCCGACCGACCCTATTTTTTTGCCGCCGACCCTACATTTTTTTTGGACAAAAAAAAATTGTCGATAGTCACTTTCTCTTTCCGAGTATTACCATTCCTTTCCTCTTATTAACTATCTTTGCGCGCTTTAATATTACTATCGGCGAGACGCTTTACCAGTAGAGTAAAGCGTTTATCGATATGAAACATGGCTACGAGTATTTTGAACATTACAATTGCAAAATGTAAACATTTCGCAGGGGTTAGAAAGATATGTACATTTCCGAACAATGCCTTGATATCTGATATTTTCTTTGAATTACATGGATCAGTCAACAGTGCCGATTTAAAAAATAAAATAGACAATTTAAGTTTGTCGGTAGTCGGTTCAACATCCCCTTCGTGTATAGATTTCAAAGATTTACCGGAGGTCGACAGTTGTGCAGTTTGGATTAAGATCTCTTTTTCTCAGATGCAAAGAAGAGCCAACTCTCCTAGAAAGTGTTGCCATCGCAGCAGAAGCAGCAACACACAAGGCAGCAAATGCATTTGAACTGCTGATGGGAAAAGGGAGAGTGTTTCCTTATAAAAAATCTACAAGGTTTATAAATGAATAAAAAATTACATTTATATTTTAAATATTTTTAATTTCTAATTTATATGCTACTGGTAACAGTATTGATTTTAATCTGAATGCAAATTTTACTTTTTTAATTTTGCATTTGATCAATGCAAAATCGTTGAAATAATTATTTGACAATCATTGAAATAATTAATATATTTGACTTATAAAATTTAAAAAAAAACATTTTATAAAAAGGAATATTATAATAAAATATTATTATTTTAATACATCAAAATAGACAGTTGTTTAAAATGACAATTTAGGCTAGCAGACTATAAAATATTTAAACAATATGATTATCAAGACTTTAATCCGAGTATTTGGGTTTGATTGAGCCAGTCTGTTCATGGATGGCACTGGAATGTGTAAGCCACCCTCCAAGCCCCTAGCACTGGCTTAAGCAGAATTAAACATTTTAAATGAAAGTTATTTTTCACATTTCAGTTCTGGGGTAAAATCTGGCACTGTGAATGCAAAAGATGTTTTGTACAACAAACTGGTAGACTTGTTTGTGACAATGTGACCAATCAAGATGATAACATGGTTTGTATATGAATATGTTGTTATTTAATAATCAAGATAAAAAAAAAAAGGACAACACTTCTTTCATATTTTGTTTGCATTCTTGGCCTATAGGTCTCTTTAATATGCCCAAGTTGAAATAAAGTTTAAGACTTTTAAATTAAAGTTAATGAACAGTTTTTAGGTAAAGCATTTTGACAGTTTTACTTTCAAGGAAGCTGCCTTTATAGTAATAGTTTCCATTTTCATTTTATAGTGTCATAATACTAATATTAAATACTTTAAAACAAAGTTTATATACATTGTTTAATATACATCTGTCAAGTGCATTCAACCCAATTTTAAATATAAGAATCTGTCTATATTTTCACAGGATGTTGAACAGAGTGTTTCTGATGTGACTGAATCTGAAGCACCATTTCCACTTACAGCCCAGACAGCACGAGGGATAGTTAATTGTGTGGAGTGGTGAAAAACCTAGAGTTTATTATTGTAAAACCAAATTGTCTAGTCGTCAAAATTTAGTTCTGATAACAGCTATTTCTGAAAATGATTACACATGTGGATCTCCTCTTTCTGGACATGAACTGCTGAAAAATGTTTATATTAAGACTGCTGTTAATTGTGGCAGTCAAGTGGAGTTTCCATACTATAGCAGTGACTATAGGTTTAATGTGTGCGCATACTGTGGAGATAGTGATGCATCTGTTGATACAGAACTGAAAAAACATTATAGAACAGTCCTTCCCATTTGTGCCAATTGTAAAAATGGTGGAAAAGTGTCTGTGACAAAGAGACCTTATGGAAAAGAGTAGTGACTGTTTTTTTATTATAAAAATTGAGGGACAGTGGTTGGACGAAAAAAATCATAACATGCACAATTATTAAATGTTTATTCTGGAACAATATAAATGCAAAAATAAACATATATATATATGTATGTAATAAATTTTATATTGAAAAGTATTTTTTTTTTTCAACAGCATGCCACAGTATCTTGACACTAAACAGCTAAATACCAAACACTCTAGCATTTTACTGCAGTCTAAACTTACTTCTAAGTGTCATTTATTATATCATTTCTTTACTTACATATTCATGAAGTCAAGTTTCACAAAAAAAAAAAAAAAAAAAAAAAAAAAATTTCCTACCTACCGACCCTATTTTTTTCAGGGCTGGTAGTGGAAACAAGCTATTTTTTTTTCTTGGCCTTACATGATTAATGGCAACCGCTACGTCTTTTTCTTTTAATCAAACCATAATCATTGGATTTAAATTAAACACTGTTATAATTTTTCAATCAACTATTTAAATGGTGATCCAAATTAGGCGGATAACTTCAAACAAAGTTTTGTTTAATCTTGTATTTCGAAATCATTAAGAAACATCAAAGAGATGCTATGTTATCTGACTAAAGGGGAAAATTTAAACATTGAAACTAAGCGATATGAATTCAAAGTTTAAAACTCACTCAACTAACTTTTCTCATAGACTTAATTCTGAAATTCATGAAAATTATTCAGGGGTTATTCTCAACTTTGATTTGATTTCGGTAATGCAACACATTATTAACAGGGGAAGTAATCATGATATATTATAATATACATATCCGTCTATAACATCATCATTTTTTATAATAAAATATTATTTTCCTTTGTTTATGGTTCAGTTTGAATGATTTTATATTAATTAATTAAACAAGATCTATGAAATTGTTTGTTTTAACTTTTACAAGCCGATTTTTGGTATGGTAACATATATTTCGGTTCGTGACAATCAGGTAAATAATCTTGATATTAATATATTTGTTTCTAACTTCATAATTATTAATTAGTTCGAACTGATTTTTTGCATGAAAGTCAAACTAAACCTATTGTAATAGATTACAATGAAAAAAATATAATAAAACGCTTAATTGTGACTTTACAAGTCGATTTCGGTATTGTAACATATATTTCGGTTCGTGAGAAATCGGGGGATAATCTTGATATTCAGTTATATGATCCTAATTTCATAATTATCAATTATTTTAAACTGATTTTTTGCATGTAAGTCAAAATTAACCTATTGTAATATATTATAATGAAAAAAAAAATAATAAAACGCTTAATTGTGATTTTACGAGTTGATTTCGATAATGAAAAGTTGATTTCGGTAACTTTACCGAAATCAAGTTGATTTCGGTATCGTAACGTACCGTAATACACCGAGTGGCAGTTTCCGAATTAGCAGACAACAGGCCATTTTTAATATGAAATAAGGTGCTACCTATGTCGTGGAAAGCTCTTATGAATTATGGTTTTAGCATAACATGTTAAGTGTACTTGTAAACCATATCTTTCTCTGTAAACAAAACAAATAAATTGGTAGTGTTCAACCTATCATCCAAGCGCTCGTTATAATCCGAAAATCCTGGAAGGTAAAGGAGGACAACAGCGCATGCGTCTGCATTTGGAAAATCCTGTCCACCATTTTTGTTAAACACTGATCACAAACGTTATTTTTTAATGCGCCTTTTTATCTAAAAGGATATTTTATAATTATAATCGTTACAATATAATTATAGTTCTTATCAATGAAAATACATGTTTATTTTCTGATTTTGAACATCATTCTTTTACCGGGAGTGTGTTTTAGCAAGCGTCTGAAGCAATGAAGAGCGCTGCAGCGTCGCAGGGCCTTAGGCCCCGCTCGGACTCTCCGTGTATCAGTATTTAATAGGCAAAGATAAGGCCTTAAAAACTTTTGTTCTGGTCACCCAACAATACCTGGAAAAATACATCCGACCCTACCGTTTTTTTAAAGCTTAAAAATATATCCATTTACGTCGTATCAAAGGTACACATTATAATTTTGAATAAAGTGTTGAATTCCTATAGCTGCCTTAATTGTCTGAAAGGACAGTTTTGGCAACTGATACATATATTGAGTTATGGACATGGTAATGTGTGACAAATCTTAATCTGTTTTTTTTTAGTTTAATCTGTTCTTGTGTTAATGCCAGTAATAATAAATCCATATAACTTTCAGTATGTAGATGATAAACTGTCAAGAAAGATTTTGGATCAAGCAAGAAAACAGCAAGAAGAGTTAGAAGAGGAACATGGGGCAACCAGGTACATTGTAATGAATAATACTGGGATACAAGTTCCAACTAAAATCTTATACCAGAAAGACATCTTAAATATATACTAAATCTATGTGCCAATTTATTAGTTATAAGCAGTATTTACCTGGCAGGCAGCGAAATAGCGAAAATCCTTGCAGAACCAACATTTCCTTTGAACTCGAAATGAAATTTAAAGAAATTTAAAACGAAATTTTAAAAAATTATATTTATTTAAATTCAATTTCTGCTGAAAAAAAGTAGCTGTTAACTTAAGCTCAGTAAAGAATCTGTTACAATTTCTTATCAGGATGAGGTACACTTTAATGCAGATGCTTTCTTTAAAATAAGATTCATTATAATTTATGAAATGTGTTACATTCCTAAAGTTAAGGATATGATTAGAATAATAATGATATTTCTACTTTTGATCAATTATACATTATAATGCATTGATGTGAAATTTTCTGCAGCACCGCAGCAAAGAAGCCTCAACAAATACAGTTGGGCAGGGCTAGACTTAAGGGGGTGGAGTCAGATGAGGAGGAATCTTATGAGGAGGAGGAGCATGAAGAATTTTATGAACAGATTGTAAGATTTGAAATGAGGATTTATATTCTGGAACTTTTAAATGAATTGTTAGAAAACAATTAATACATAACTATCTATTTCATAAAGTTTTTAGTCCCCTACATGTGTACCGGAGGGGACTTTAGGTTTACCCTCCGTCCGTCTGTCTGTCCGTCCATCCGTCTGTCCACAAAACTGGATCCCGCGATAACACAAAAAGTACTGAAAATATTTTAATGAAACTTGATATATGGATAGATGGCAGTATGGAGATTATGCACGTCTTTTTCTTTTCTTCCTATATTGAAAATTCTGGTTGCTATGGCAACAAATAGACTAAAAATATGGCAAATTTTACACATAACCTGGATCCCGCGATACCACAAAAAGTACTGAAAATATTTTTATGAAACTTGTTACATGGATAGATGGTAGTATGGAGAGTATGCACATCTTATTCTTTTTTTCCTATGCTGAAAATTATGGTTGCTATGGCAACAAATAGACTGAAAATATGGCAAATTTTACACATAACCTGGATCCAGCGATAACGCAAAAAGTACTGAAAATATTTTTATGAAACTTGACATATGGGTAGATGGCAGTATGGAAATTATGCACATTCTTTTCTTATCTTCCTGTATTGAAAATTCTGGTTGCTATGGCAACAAATAGACTGAATATCAAGATTTCTGATTCTAGTTTTTAAGTTTTTTCATTATAAGTTCTTTATTTCTTAAGGTATTTTCTTCAAACTTTAAATATAAGTTGCTAGTCATCAACCACATCATATGTGACAAAGTTTACAACTCTAGCACAAAATTTATCAGAATTACCTCCCTTGAACTTTAAATTTTCATGAAAAAAAATTGTTTTTTTTTTTAATAACTTCTTCTTTTTTTTTAACGTATCTACTTCATATAAATGTTTCTTATTATCACTTATTATCACTCAACAAATTCAAAATAAACATTAAATATTCATACCTTCATTACTAATTGTTCTTTGTTACACTCACATCATGTATGACATCGTTATCTCCTTTTTTTTAAATTTTTGTTTTTAAAAATGTTATATTTTGATAACAGGGATGTTTAAAAAATAACTTTAAGAGTGTCCTTCAGTCCGTCTGTCTGTCTGTACATAAAAACTGTTCACTTTGATCACTTTTAAAGAACTTTTCAACAAATTTACTTAAAATAGAAACATAAGTGAATGGCCCTTCAAAATGTTGCTTTGGCTCTTACCGGTAGGGGACTTATGGATTGCTTGCAATACTATGATAATTGCTTGTTAAACATTGGAGGTTGGTTAGATAGTTATAAATGAATTGTTGAGAATCTGGCCAAGCCTTTATGAGGAATGGTCATATTGAAAAGTTTGGTACTAAGCTATATGCCTTGCTAGGTGAAAGTGAGAAAAAAACTATCAAACATGTGTTACGAAAATTAATGTGTGCTATTTTACAAACAATATATTCCTGACAAAATAATTAAAGTAATACAACATAAAGAAAAACAGAGCCCAGTACTGAGAACCTCAGAGCATTATAGTAATCAGTCACTTGGCCTGCAAAAATGTAACAGACCAAGACTTGAGTGTGATGTTCATTGTGTTTGGGGCTGACATGAATATTAGTTTAATGCTTTACATTCCTAAATAATGTTGCCATGAAACAAATTTTAAACAGAACCTTTGACAAATTATTCTAAAATGTAAATCGAGGGTTGACTGCAAAACTGTAGTAACTTTTGTGAAATAAAGGACTTAATAACAGTTAAAAATTGCAGTCAGTCCTCAATATTAAATATGTGACCATAATTATTTAAGTCATTTTAAGCGGAATATTTTTTTCTTGAAAGACATAAATGTAATTGTTATGTGATATTTTTACCTATAATCTATCTGACTTTCAAATCATCCGTGCTTCTTCATTTCATAAGTATCTCTGCAGCTGAAGAAAAAGCAAGCTGCTTATGTTTTGTCTTTCTTATTATGCTCTATTTTCTTTATTTCCCTCTAACTTTCTCCGAAATATATGGCTTCAAAATAATTAAAGTTCTAGCTTTATATGAGCTATTATTGAGTTAAGTTTCCATAGCCTTTGAGTTAAGTTTCCATAGCCTTCAGAACACTGTGACGGAGTTGTTGGTATTTGTCTGGTACCACATCGTATTAATTAGTATTTTGAATAACATGTCCCTATTGTCTATTTCCTGCTTACGTATTTTCGCAAAAACCTTGTTTGCACAACTTTCAAATAACGAAGTCCCGACTTACTCTAACTGGATAAATTTTCAACACACAAAAGCAAAAAAGTCACGTAGAGTAAAGCAAATTCTACTCTATTGAAACGCAGCAAATATTTTCACGAGAAGTATGCGTGTTTCCGGACTACGGGGCCAATTTATGTACAGTTATATGACAAATTTTAAACCTTTAGAAGCGTGTAACTTTTATCTCCATTACATCATGTTTATGTTTTATTGAGTGCATTGAAACCAATGTAAGTTTTATACCTATGATTTAAATTATTATTCAACATCCTGTTTTTTCACTTTGAATTTTTCGTATATAAGTTTTCAATGGATCTTACTTTGTATACGTAACAACAGAATATATCTCTGTATTCATCTAACTATACATCTGTACAATACCCGCGAAATATATTGTTTTTACAACGCTTTCATATATTAATTATTTGGTCCGATGGAGGCAGGAGTATGCTCATATGTGAGAAAAAATACTGCAGAAACGTTTATAAGCTCGCTCTTTGTCTTTGCAACAAACTATAGTAAGCCAGTTTGTTAGTTTTTCAACACGAAATATTTGAAAGATTTTTGTTAAGGATGAATGTGAATAACCATTTGAATTTAGGCGGCCGGACAGATAAGCAATCAATGCTTAACAATTATGCCCTTCAAATATTTTTACTTTTATTTTAGCGGAAGGTGTAGAGAAAACTAATGGTGTCTATACTGAGCCAGGAGAAGACAAGTGCGATTGTATAGATGGAGGATTAAAAAGTAGAAAGGGTGATCAGGAACCAAAATGTACACCAGGTAAATTCAATATATTTTTCTGTACTAGATCACTTAAATTACTTAAGTCTTATTAGTTAATTCAGATTAAAGTTTTGATATATAAAATGGTTTCAGTTAAATTACGTAAATATATTTAAAATGATTGCATGTGTGTGCGTGCGTATGTGCGTGTTATAGATTTTATAGTGAAATTGAAAAATCTCATTATAAAATTCTACAGGTTTCAACCAAACTTGCCAGAATTGATGATCGGGTGAAAAGCTTCACAAAGTTCTTCACAAAATGTTATTCCATTTAGAATTCTGGTTGCCAAACGACCGAAAGGAATAATATATGTTTTTTTTTTAATTTCTTGTTTAGTTAGAAAGCCGAAAGCATAGATATTTTGCATTAGGCATTGTCTTGAAGACCACTACCAAGATTATAACCTCGGGGGCAAAATTGAGCTAACGATTTCAAGCAAGACAAATGTTTGGCTTTCCAGGGATATTTGTAAAATAATGCTTAATTGAAAAGATAGTATCTAAGAATAAATGAAACTGTTTCTCAAAGTTAAATACAACAATGTTAGGCCACGTCACATTCAGATAAGCTAAATAAATGGCCCATTCAACATATAATCAGGCACAGTTTTTACTGCAATGTCTTATCAAGATTGCCTAGGATTTATACCTTTGTCTTTGCAATACTATTATGAGTCTGTAAAATGTGTGAATAAAAAAGCGGTGAAATGATGTAATGAGCTAAAAACAATGGAGTAAATGAAATGTGTACATTCTTTTAAAATAAATGGAAAGTGTGAGAAAAGATATATTTTGAGCTTATTAATTGATGCACATTCTTTATTTGATGAAAGTTATTCACAAAATGAAGAAGATAATTTAAAATTCATTTTGATTCTACTTTTGAAAAACATATCTTTTTTTCTTTTGCTCTTCTGTGTATCAATGTATCGCTTTGACCAAGACATTTGTAAACATTTATTGAAATTTACAGTTTATGTACACTGAATCAACAACAAAAACGTCAGAAAAAATAAAAGCACTATCACACCTTCGGGGCACATGTTTTGTGTCAAACCGGTGTTATCAGTGTCTTTTTACAGCCAAAAACCATTGAAAAATAAAACGTGTTCTAATTTTCTCGCAGATAATTATCTTCATGATTGTCACATAATTTCTCTTTAAAAATAATTCAAGTAGGGTGTCTACATTATGCAAGACAAGAGAATATGATACTTGCATTCAAGACTTGAAAAGGTGTAGACAGTAGACAGGGCCTATAATTATACAGGAAATACCTAAATTTTCAAGAAAGAATATCTTTTATTTTGAATCAATTAATATACTACGGACTTTGTTTCTGAACATTAGACAAATCTGTACATAATCATGTATTTGACATAAACTTCAAAATTCACTTAACACTACCGCATTATGGCAACGTTTAATTGTATGGAAACAAAGGAAAGAAAGTACTTCTGTTTCTATAATTTAGTGTTGAATTTATGCGGCAGTAAAGCATTTTTATACAAATGCAATCCTATTTTTTTTTTTTTTTGTTTTTCTTGGGGGGATATTTGTTGTTGTGTTTTGTTTTCAGATCCTTGTAAAGTGCCGCTTGATTTTGACAAACATCTGTCAATATCTGACAGAACACATGCAAGTCTCTCTGGAGGTTCTATTGTTAAAGTTGGGGACATTGTTTACTTCAATTGTTCAACGACGGATTATGACACACAGGAACCTGTTAATAGAAGATTCATCTGTAGAAACAGTCAGTGGATTGAGAATGAACAAGATCTATCATGGACCTTCGGAAATAATGGCACTTTTCCGATATGCAGAAAGGGTAAACATATTCCTTGATTAGACAATAAAATACTACTTATCATATCCTATTACATTTTTTTTTTATTTTAATACAAACAAGAAAACAATTAGAAAACAATTATTTTAGTTCCGTGCTGCAGAGTATTGCAACACGGTTCGTATTCAAATGCACAGCAATAGAATCACGAATGCCGGTAAGTCTGAATGACTATTTACAATGCGATTGAATGATACACAATAATTTGTTGCTCTTCATCGTAAGGACCATTGACTGTATTGTCTTTCCTACATGCTTATAGTAATTATAATATGCTCAACATATGAGCCGCGTCACGCCAAAACTAGGGATGGGTACCACCAATTTTTTTGTACCGCGGTATATCGCGGTATTTCACCTGTGTACCGCGGTATGTACCACGGTATTATGAAGACACTTTTTAATGTTTAACTTATGCAAACTAAGACCAACTGCCATAAGAATGTTTAAACATTTTGATAAAACACAATACATTTTAGAAAAACAGATTAATATCTTTATTTCTTTCAACTAACATCTGTCTACCTGACTGGAAAATAATAAATAAAAGAAAGAAGAAAATAACCTTATTGTCTTGATAATATTTTCAACAAAATCTAAAACAGAAAAATGGCAATTCCCATGAAGACTCCTCTATTGTCTTAAGTTTTTAATAGCACATGGTTTCATTGGTTTGCATGACCATTGTCTAGAATAATTTGAAGGCCGGCTATGGTTATGCCCAAAATGCCTCCAAATATCCGATTTCCCCTTTGGATTTTTGACAGTGGTGAATTCGTCCATGACAGTATGAGCTGTTTACAAGATGGGCTATGTCTAAATGCTTTACGTTTTGTTATTGTCGCCACTCGTCAATACGTCAACATGTTTACTAGCCTTAGACTGAGCACTAACATGGGTGTCCCCTTTTAATGCATTTAAATGAAGAATGATATATAGAAATTATAAAAATGTCGGCGGATGAAATGTATTTACACTACATAATAAATATGAAAAACAACCGGGAAACGATCCGACCTTTCCGCGACTAATTATTCGTTAGAGTATTATACTGTGCATTTACTGCTGCTCTAAAAATAAGACTTGGAATTCCACTTTAATTTAGGTTGAAAGTTGAAACACAGATTACAGGGTAAATAACGTCCGAATCTTACAAAAATATTATGTAAAATTATATATATTAAAAAACCGGTATTCCTAGGGGTCGTACCGGTACGTACCGCGTCTGAACGAAACCGCGGTATACCGGTATACCGGTAATACCGCACATCCCTAGCCAAAACCAACATAATGGGTTTGCGACCAGCATGGATCCAGACCAGCCTGCGCATCCGCGCAGTCTGATCAGGATTCATGCTGTTCGCTATCAGTTTCTTTACTTGTTATAGGATCTGTAAGCGAACAGTATGGATCCTAATCTGGTCGCAAACCCTTTATGTTGGTTTTGTCGTGACGCGGCTCTTATAATGATGTCATTTGATATATTGACGTCACATTTTACCGTACATGACGTGTGAGCATTCACGTTTTTATGTCGTGCATACAGGGGTTTTTTTTACTAACAAATTGACACCGATAGTCGGCGTCTTCCCCTCGGTAAATAGCCAAGTTTTTTCCCCAAAAAAATTCTATTTTTCCTTTAAACTGGATCAGATTTAATAATTACATGGTTTAAAATATTATTTTTCTTCATTTTATGCAGGATAAACCACCAATTGTTGTTCAAAATAACCAAAAACATTGCAGGAAACTGCAAGTACTGTCTCAACATGGAGGCAGCCATTTTTTTTCTTGGCTATATCCCGTACTGAACGGTACTATTTCTGGAAATCAGTTGCTATCAAAATATTGTCATTTTCTTGGTTATTTTTAGTAAAGTAATATATTTTGTACTTCTTATTATGAAAATGACTCATATGGAGCTAAAGTGTGTCACAGATACACTATTATACCTATACTGTATTAACTTTCATACAAAAATAGAAGTATAAAAACCATTCACCACCATACATATTAAGAAAATATGTTATACTGCAAAGAATATTTTGCATGATGATAAAGTTTTTAAGGGGAAAAAGATATAGTTGTAACTCTCTACTATGTAGTTAAGTATATAGTATAAATAACGTCATAATAAAGTTTCCCCAAATTGACTTTTTTCGTATATTTTTTCCCCTCCCTACCAGCGTCCAGCGTCTTCCCCTTTTCCTAAAAAAAACCCCTGGCATATATCGTATGACTGTCCTGTATCAGGCCGTAGCGTAACCAGTGCGCGGAGTTTGGTCCTGTATATGAAAGTTAGTGTAAAGCGTGTCAGAAATTATCATACGGAATTTAATTAGATAATCTTAAAGGGACTCCACCAAGGTTTTTTTTAAATGATGGAACTGATAATATTTTTCCGGATAAATGTTCCATTTGATGTAGGTTTAGACCACTAATCATTGTGCAAAATTCAAATCACTTCTTTCTTCCAGAAAATTATTCAAATCGTAAAAATATGACTAAAAATGAAAAGCGTTTAAACGCTTTTCACACAAATCGAGCTAAGAAAAGCATAAAAATATGATTTTCAATTTATTTCGAAGTATATTTCTTGACTATCTTTGCATATATTTCAGTTTAAAGTGCCCCAGCTCATTTATGTACGAAAATTCAAATTTTATGTTCTTAAGCTTTTAAACCTCAGTGGAGTCGCTTTAAAGCCAATTAAGAATTATGGACAGCAATTGTGAACTCTGTACATGATACTAACTCTTGTAAATGAGTTATAAGTCAAAATAAATAGCACATGATCTACAAAACATTGGGAAAAGAAGTAATTATTGATTTAGTTTTAAATAAAAGCGCCTTAATTAATTTGTATCATTTATGCTTCTCGAGATATCAAATGGTATTACATTTTATATGCGCTGTTTTACATTAGCTCAAGAAATAATAATGTTTACCACTTGAACCATCATGTGTTTGAGGTTTGCTTAAAGTCATCCTTGTTAACCACATTTGCGATTCCGGAAGTAAGAAGAAATACATAAGTTTATCATAATAGATTTTTCAATTGTGTCTATTTATAGAAGAAAAAGTAAACAATAGATATTCTTTCAATTTGCAAATTAATAAAGCATTCCTAAGGAAAAATTGCATTCATATCTAAAACTCTTTCATCTTGATGAAACAAAAAAGGATCACAACATTGAAAAGGCATCAATTATTATCCAATATACAACATTAAAACAATTTACGTTCAATATCACCATTGCAGAGTTAAAAAAATAAATAATTTCATTTCATAAAGTAATCATGAATTGGTTCAATCTGTTTTTCTGTTTTGATCTTATTACAATTAGCCCAAAGTGTTACTTTTAATTTTTCGGGTACTGTATTTATCATGCAAGAACTTCATTAAAATGCAATCATTTTTCATCATAACTTTAATATCTAAATGACCGGAATGCATTCGGTTTTATGAAACTGTGAAAATATGTTTAAAAGAAATATATTTTCCTTGTCAAAATGCAATTATCCCGACCGTGCGTTTTCATTGTCCTTAAGTATACATTGAAACTATAAGCTTATTTAACAAATTTTAATTAAAAACAATTCGAAGTTCTAGATTCAACTTTAGATCTTACAAATTGTCAATGTTTAGGGCGAGATATCTTAAAACAAAAGAAAATTTATATACAATGTATAGAACAGAGATCCAACACGTTCTTTATGAACATTTTTCTTTAGGTATAATGGTCAGATATATTCACGAAAAAATATTATAGATGAAAATATTACAAGACTCCTACCTTTCACACTTTTGACAGTACCCCATCTTGAAAGTGTCATCACATTTACCAACGTAAGCTTACAACAAGTTTTTAATGAATACTGAAATCTCTCCTAATCGACAACGCCCGCATTCAGCTGCGAGGTTTGCTAAAAGCGATAAATGACCTAATTTATTTTGGGTCAAAAGGTCAAAGCTCGAGGTTACAATTATTTATTGGATTATGCTTCATGATCAAAATTACAAAGCACAATCATTTTAGCTCGACTTTTTTCAAAAATAGCTCGACCTTTTTTTTTTTTTTTTGAAAAAAAAGGAGAGTTTTGTTAAGAGTCCTGGCGGAGTTGCCGTTGCCGTCCGCAAACTTGTACCTGGATCATAACTTTAAATTTCTTGGTGTATTGTCTTCATTATTGGCCACAACAACCCTTGGGACAAGACCTTTCAGTAGACCACACTAACCTTGAGCTTTATCCATAAATGACCTTGACCTTCAAGGTCAAAAATCAAAATTTTGCTTGTTCTTTCTATTATTGGCTGTAATTTTGTTATGTTTAAATAGATTGTCTTCAAACGATAATATAATAATCTTCAAGAATAGCCCTTTAAAAAGCCTAGTCAGACCTTGACCTTCACTCATAAATGACCTTGACTTTGAACGTCAAATTATTGAAATTTTCATTTTTTGGCTATAATTGGCTGTAATTTTGTTATTTTTGAATGGATTATCTTCAAACTTGAACATAATCATCTTTAGGGATAGCCCTTAAAAAACTAGTCAAACCTTCACCTTCACTCATAAATGACCTTAACTTTGAACGTCAAATTATTGAAATTTTCATTTTTTGGCTATTATTGGCTGTAATTTTGTTATTTTTGAATGGATTATCTTCAAACTTAATCATAATCATCTTTAAGGATAGCCCTTTAAAATAATTAGACAGACCATGACCTTCACTCATAAATGACCTTGACTTTGAAGGTCAAATTATTGAAATTTTCATTTTTTTTTTTTTGCTATTATTGGCTGTAACTTTGTTATTTTTGAATGGATTGTCTTCAAACTTGAACATAATAATCTTTAAGGATAGCCCTTTACATTAACCAGACTAGCCATGACCTTCAGTCATAAATGGCCTTGACTTTGAACGTCAAATTATTGAAATTTTCATTTTTTTGTGCTTATTATTGGATGTAACTTTATCCTTTTTGAATGGATTGTCTTCA